TGTACTGTCTTGAACATGGAATCCAGCCCGATGGTCAGATGCCGAGTGACAAGACGATTGGCGGTGGCGACGACTCGTTCAACACTTTCTTTAGCGAGACAGGTGCAGGGAAACATGTCCCTAGAGCAGTCTTCGTTGACCTTGAGCCAACTGTAGTCGGTAAGTTCAACCCAAGGAATGCATAAATTTTATATAATCTATAGGGAAAAGTCGTGTTAGCGAGAATCGGGACGACAGGGCTGATACGAACAAATGTTTATGAGTGCTATTTTTCCGCTCAAAGCAAATGACCGCTGACTTATTTGACAGGAGACTCAATTGAACAGAGTCTTTCGCAAAAACAAAACAAAGCACTAAAAAAAACCCAGACCTACTATAGCTGGTTAAATAGCGCTAGATTGGAATCTTAATTTATATGCCTGGTTTGTAGCCAAAGACTGCATTCCCTGAAAGCTAAATCTTATGTCTTATGGGAATACAGGCTTCAAGGTTCGAATTTAGAGAAGATTAACATTTGCAGCTTATTGTAATCAAAAGATTTTTTCATGCTCTAGTTCTCTTTTGCTTTTGGCAATTTCTGCGTAAAAAAGTCACTCGTAAAAATAGCCGTGCTAACAAATTCAATATTTATTGATATTAGCAAGAGCGGATCCAGCATTTTATAAGGGGGTGGGGGTGGGGGGCTTTTGTCAGTAATATATTGATCCTCCCCTGATTACTTTGACGATTAAGTTTATTACGAAATGAAAGTTGTCAAATACCGATATTTTTAAATATCAAAAAAATAGTAATTCATTAGTTGATGATTTATTAACAATTGATTATTAATATTCATCATATTAATAATTATTAATAATAATGATTTAAACGTTAGTTCAACCTAAAAGTTTTGGCTCACCGAGCCATTGTCAAGGTTCATTATTTTTATGTTGTTTTGTACATTGTAGTTTTCATCAGTCTTATAATCATGGATCGGTGAGCCGAAAGCTCGACTAATAAAATTTTAGATTGTCATGAAGTAACGTTGAAATCATTGTGAATAGACCTGCAATCTACAACCGTCTATTTGATATAATTARTATTAGATAGTATAAACATACTACTTGTCTATCACTCATACTGAGCTGTGATTGGCTACTCTACTAATGGTCTAATTTGTGATAGACCACTCGCGGGAAAATCAAAATGGCGGCATCTCATTAATAAATTATTTTAAGGATATTTCAATTTGTTTTCATTATTTGACCGATTAGTATGTTTATACTATAACAATTAAAGCTCTCGGCTTCGTGGACTACGAGCTAATAGCCCATTCGGCCTCGCGGACTCGGCTTCATGGGCTATTAGCTCGTAGTCCACTCGACCTCGAGGTCTAATTGTTAATTATCAAAATGCTTATATTTTAGATGAAGTAAGAACAGGAACATATCGTCAACTATTCCATCCTGAGCAGCTGATTACAGGAAAYGAAGACGCGGCTAACAACTATGCCAGGGGTCACTATACTGTCGGGAAAGAACTTATTGACATGGCTCTTGATAGAATTCGCAAACTGGTAAATATTAGTATAAGTAATAGCATTTTTGTAGTGGTATTTGGGATAAATACCACGCGTGATATTTCAAAATTGTCAAACAAAATTTCACGAGCGAAGCGATTGAAATTTGTGACAAATCTTGAAATATCACATATATTCTACCACATTTAGCTATTGATACAGGACTTCTAATAAGCAAACCTTTATTCTCCAATTTAATTTGCAATCATTTGTTCTGTATTCTTAAACTGTTGATAATTTATGTTGCGTTCTGATTGATTCAGAATCAGGATTTTGRTAACGAGAACAATTAATCGAATGCWATTTCTYTAAGTATGATAGGGTTTTCTACAACATCTAGCTATTGATACAGGACTTCTCATAAGCAAACGTTATTCTCCAACAGGCTGATCAATGTACTGGTCTTCAAGGTTTRRTGATCTTCCATTCCTTTGGTGGAGGWACTGGCTCGGGGTTTACTTCTTTGCTTTGCGAACGTCTCTCCGTCGATTATGGAAAGAAGTCTAAACTGGAGTTCGCAATCTACCCTGCCCCCCAGATCGCCACTGCGGTTGTCGAGCCTTACAACTCCATCTTGACCACACATACCACACTGGAACACTCCGACTGCGCTTTCATGGTGGACAATGAAGCCATTTATGACATCTGCCGTCGTAACCTTGATATCGAGAGACCAACCTACACCAATCTCAACCGCTTGATTGGCCAGATTGTCTCATCCATTACAGCCTCTCTGCGCTTTGATGGAGCTCTAAACGTTGACTTGACTGAGTTCCAGACCAATTTGGTACCCTATCCACGTATCCACTTCCCATTGGCCACCTATGCCCCCGTTATCTCTGCAGAGAAAGCCTACCACGAGCAGCTGACTGTTGCTGAGGTTACCAATGCTTGCTTTGAACCAGCAAATCAGATGGTCAAGTGTGACCCACNAAGGATTACGAAGAAGTTGGTGTTGACAGTGCAGAAGAAGAAGGCGAAGAAGAAGGCGAAGAATACTAAAATCATCTTCACTCAAYTGTACCAAAGATAGTTATGCCTGACCCATACACTACTAATAAGTTAACTCACTTACTTGAACTTGTTTAGTTGAAAAGGTTGTTGGTATTACATAATGTAACCAGAAATAGAKACAGATGTGGACGTGAAAATGAAATAAAGCTAACATTGCACAGCTATCAAACCCTCCTGCCTTTTCAACTCTTTTTTCCTCCGTTGGGCTTTCTTTGTAATGGTCATCTTGGCCGCTAGGGGGACACAGAAGTTCTTTAGAATGCGATAATTCACGCCTCCTCTCTCTCGGCCCCATTCTCCCTCTTTTGACTCCCAAGAAAGACAGGAAGCCCGTGATTCTTAGTAATGTCTGCGGAGGAGGCTATAGTCAACCGTTGTCCATTTACATAGAGAGAGTTTTAGCATCACGTTGACGGCAAAGGGCTAACGGCAGAGCTGAACCAATGACCTAAGAATTTCGTGCCCGACCTTGTGCTTTTGGTAGTCATTTGAAAGAGCGTCTTTTCACGATTATGGCAACCTCAAACTAACTCGCTCTCGCGTTGAAACTGCAATGTTAAACTCCAAAAAAGCAGATCACGTGATCTTTTCTGCCGTCCGTTTGTCGTGAACGTCATGCTAAACCTCTCTAATGACTTTAAAATTAAGAATTCCCTTGAGTCATTACTGAGAATGAGAAAGTGAAGGTTCCAAAAACGCTACAATTGAATATTCACATAATGTGAAACCGTTATGCAAACACAATTTTTTTYTATATCGTCGCGATTARATTCCTGTTCATAACTCCTGGACCTACATTAGTCTGTACATGGGCTCTCCATATTCTGTSTTGTTTTCATATAATCCAATTGCCAATGTTTAGCGAGGTGTAAAAAGATCATGTTTGTTGATTATGTACAGCACCTGGTGTTGCTTTCGACACGCGTATCAAAATTCAAAATTCTCGCTCTGATCATTCCATACAAATTGGTTGTAACCCCTGCATTGCAAGGAAGAAAGTTGTAGATTGTGATCTATTTATTTTATAGCTGCAGCCACTCTCTGGCAGTTAATTAAAAACAAAGCAAATGCCACAAGCAAACTAATACTAGGACTCTGTCCAACTCTCAATACATGCTTAACACCTTATTTGGGGGCCTATTGTAGTTTGGCGCGGTTTGACCATTTCTGCTTATTTTAGAGGTCGGTTTTCGGTATTGCTTTCATTTTTGTGATAGTAATATTAGAGAGAAGCCAAAAAYCCGTGAAATAGATAAATAATTACACTAATTCATATATCATTACACGTTCTAATTGTATTGTTGTCTTTTTGTGTCTATTTGGTTATCACACTTTTCAAAAGAGTCAAATTTTGTGTCATTTGTGCTTGATGAATCATAACACACTATTAGAAATGGCTGCCAAAAAAACGATGATAGCAACAATGATAATGGTAGTGATAATCACGGCAAAAAAATCAGCATTATTGATGGGATTTCTAGGTGTTGTTCGTAAAAATTAAGTGCAACATAAATATCAAAAACATAAAAAGCTAGGTTTTCTGGATTATACCCAAGAGCTTGCTCAGGGTAACTAGGGTCAGCTTGGAGCCATATTGCAAGCGCTAGTAAAAGCGCGAAACAATAGATAGACTGGGCAATAAATTGAAAAACAAAGGATTCAGCTTAATCAGGATGTAGCATTTAAATCTTTGAACAGCGTACTCTCTCACGCTTTTGGTATTTTAGACTTCACTGGTGACGTTATTTGCTACTWTACTTTGATYGCGAAGCGTCACGTGCGTGTGCGTGACAAACCAAGTCCGACCACGCGGCGACCTCCAACTGTGTCTCAACGGCTGAAAGACGATATTATTATAAATCATTCAGTCCTTCATACAAAGCGGCCGTAACGCGTAACTCAGTGTACGGAAAAAAGCATTTAAAAAGTTTGAGTCGTCAGTCTAAATACCTGCAAACCTTAAGAAACAATCATTATGGTAAGTTTTTCACATATTAGATTTTCTTGGTGGATAGATTTATAGCTGTGAAAAAAAAAAACTTAGTATCTTGGCCATTTCAGGTTTCATAGTCAATCACGTAGTGCTAAGAGACTTCGATCAGAGTTAATGAGTGTAACACCTATCCTGCGAATTGGGATGCTGATGCGGGTGGATTTCAGTAGTATATATTGCATATTGACCATGTCGTGTCTCCTGACATAATGCTCGATTGGGGAGAAGCATTACTCGAGACATGAAAACCCCCAAATGCATACTAAAGTGCTGTAAAAAATTGAGAGCGTGCAGCATAATAGTATAAAATACTAAATAAAGAAAACAAGATACAAAAATTCAGATATCGTGAGAGTCAGAGTGGGCAGCGGTATGGTCAATCAATTTTAGAGTACATAAATTTTCGATTCAAATTAAGGGTATCGAATTTTGCACGCCTTAATAAACAATTCCTTCATATCATTCTAAGTCGACAAGAAGTTCCATTAAGGAATTCATAGTGATGCTCTTCTTAAGCTTTGTCACTACTATGGACTCGATATGAGAGTAATGAATCAAAAATTATTGATCAATTGTGTTTTATCTTGGATTGTTTAACGGCGGTGACCGCGTGGTTTACACGAGCTAATTATAAATGCATGGTGTAACTTTTTATATTTTCTTTGAGAAAAATCCCGGAAACTAGGTATAGATTAGGAATTAATTACATATTAATCATGGCTGACAATTTTTCATCAGTACCGTCTGATATTCTTTGTTAGCAAAAAATGCTGAAATTCATGATCTGTGGAGAAGTAGAATGTGACTATATTAGACCTTTTTGAACTCTTACAGCGCGAATGTATCTCAGTTCATGTCGGCCAAGCCGGTGTTCAGATTGGCAACGCTTGTTGGGAGTTGTACTGTCTTGAACATGGAATCCAGCCCGATGGTCAGATGCCGAGTGACAAGACGATTGGTGGTGGCGACGACTCGTTCAACACTTTCTTCAGTGAGACTGGCGCAGGAAAGCATGTTCCTAGAGCAGTCTTCGTTGACCTGGAGCCAACAGTTGTTGGTTAGTACAAAACAGAAACAAACATTCTCATAAGATTTCTCATAATTTCTGTCGTATCCCTGACAGTGTGACCATAGAGATGCGTTGCACAAATTCAGACTGCAAAGGAAACTAATGTGCCTGTCTGGATTTTTACAGGGGCGAATTTAGGGGAGTGCAAAAGTACCGGGGTATCCCTGAATAATTGAAATAAAAGACATTCTGATAATCCGTCAAAATAAAGGAAATCCAACTTAGCATGATCTCAATTTCAAAATTTTCAAGAGGAACATATGCCACTGGACTTCAATGCCCTTAAATTTCGTCATTACTGAAATGCTCTTGTTAAGGAATTGATATCTGGCCATTTGATAAGTCGATTTAACCTTAAAGGTCACTTACACAACAGACATGATGGAAAGATATGCCAGCAGAATGTCTACATTGTATCAAGAATATGACCAGCTAGAAAGAGTAGCTTTTATCAGACAACGACTTGGAAAAAAGAAAATTAGAGGAAAATAGAGGATAACAAAACTACATGCGCAGCACTTTGTACCTCATGCCAGCGTAGCCTGGCATATCAGAGACTTTGCCTATATATTCATTTTTCATCGACAATATATATAAATAGACTTAAATAATTGACAGTCTTGATATGATGACTTCTGAAATGAATTAATAAACTTTTCGTTTTGATTTAGATGAAGTAAGAACTGGAACCTACCGCCAGCTATTTCATCCCGAGCAGCTCATCACTGGTAAAGAGGACGCAGCCAACAACTACGCCAGGGGTCACTATACTATTGGCAAAGAAATCATCGATCTTGTGCTTGACAGAATTCGCAAGCTGGTGAGCTGAAATACATGAGATAATACCTCTAGATATACAACTCAACACCGTTATGTACACTGTTATTTTCAAGGAGTTGATATAACTCTGCAAGGGAGTTAAATTTACTCCACCCAATGGAGTAACTTTAAAAGGAGTTAAATCTACTCGTAATGAGAGTAAAGTTAACTCCACCAGGGGTAATATTAACTCCACTATGGATAATTTTAACTAATTTGTGGAGTTAAATTTACTCCTAAAACGGAGTCATCCTGTACCTTTTTATTTAACTCCACTTTTTAACTCTCAAAAAATAACAGTGTATTGTCAGTTTTGCGTCCTATGCAAAACTAGCATTTAATATTGTAGAAATACACTTTGTTTAATTTATGAGATTTGCCTTCAATCTCCACACTTACTCGTATTAGTTCTTTTCCTTATAGGCAGATCAATGTACTGGCCTCCAGGGTTTCTTGATCTTCCATTCCTTTGGTGGAGGAACTGGATCAGGTTTTACCTCTCTTCTCATGGAACGCCTGTCTGTTGATTATGGAAAGAAGTCAAAACTTGAATTTGCAATATATCCAGCACCACAAGTCTCCACAGCCGTCGTAGAGCCATACAACTCCGTCTTGACCACACATACCACGCTGGAACACTCCGACTGCGCTTTCATGGTGGACAATGAAGCCATTTATGACATCTGTCGTCGTAACCTTGATATCGAGAGACCAACCTACACCAACCTTAA